TGGAACATCCGCTTTCTCAGCGTAGATCGTCACCTGAATCACTTCCGGAGATGATTCGGCTTTTCTTTTTTTAGTGGACCTATTTTGCTTTAGGATCCAATCTGTTTCTCTTCCGAGCTCTTCCTCATCTGTTGAGTAGGCGTCCAAGATTGACTTCACCTGCTTTGCTTTTGGTGCAGCCGCTTTTTTTTTATGACTACTATCATTAGACTTATTGTTTGTAATTTGCACATGTTTCTGTTTCCTTAGCTTCTCATTCTCAGCCCTCAGTTGAAGAACCTCGTTTTTCAAAGCCACACAGAGCTATTCTAGTTGGCTAATCCTTTTGTGGCCCCGGCGGCCTAGTGGTCAAAACACTCGCTTGTAAACCGAAACAAACCGGGGGGGTGTGGGTTCAAATCCCATACACGCCGCAATATAATAAAAAGGGAAGATTTGGCTGAATAAGCTAAATCCTTCAGCTCCCACAGCGGTGAAATATAGCTAAAAATAATTGAATATTAGTATAACATTAATACAAAATATTACCTTAATATATCCAAATAATTAAGTACATAACCCCACGAAATAAAGTAATAATAAAAGTATAACTCCAAATATATAATATTACATATAACATATGACGACTGACAGTGAAAACGTCACGGCTGACAGTACGTCACAACCCAATAAACCATGAGCTGGAAACACAATGAAACCATGGAACACAGTGACGGCATCATGCTGCAAGGACGGAAAGTAAAGGGAATTTACAATGCAGATAGCTACGGTAGGCTAATGACCTTGCCTAGTGAATTTCAACCGATTAACGAAACAGAAACAGATCGACCTCATATGCATTAGTCACAAATGGAGGCGATCTCTCCTAGATGTAAGAACATGGAGGGGCGCTGATGTGGGGTCCGACCATATGCTTCTCACAGCAGATATCCGCCTAAAACCTGCAACCATTAGAAGTAATAACACTCAGAGAAAAAGGAAAATCAACACTCAAAAGCTCAAAAATGAGAATACAAAAGCAGAATTTGTATCAAAAATTGACGAGAAAATGAGAAACCAGACAATTGCGAGTGAAGAAGATATGCAAAGTATATTCAGACAAGTAGGAGAAGAGGTCTTAGGCGTTACCAGAAAAGAAAGAAAAGAATGGATCTCAGAAACGACATGGAGAAAAATTGAAGAAAGAAGAGATTTAAGAATAAAGCTCTTGGCGTCAAATAGTATGGAGCTCAGGATCCAATATAAAGAGAAAGCCAAAGAAGTAAAGAAAGCAGCAAGGAAAGATAAGAGAAGCTATTACAACAAGATCGCCATAGAAGCACAAAAATCAGTGGAATTAAATAATATGCGCGCGCTCTATAACAACATACGAACGCTGTCAAATAAGTCCAAGAATCATAACCAACCAATCAAAAACAGAGAGGGCCAGTCTTTATCGTCTACAAAAGAACAACTACTGAGATAGCAGGAGCACTTCGAGGAAATAAACAATAACCTCGAACAACAAATTCAAGAACAACATCAAGAAATCAATAATAGTAGTCGCAACACGAGAATAGACCTGAACCCGCCAAGTAAAAGGAATATAATAGATGCCTTAAATAGACTCAAAAATAACAAAGCTGAAGGTCACTGAACTACTGAAAGCCAACCCAAATAAAACAGCCGAAATAATGCAGCCACTAATAAATAAGATCTGGAGTACAGAAGAAATAGCATGCAGTTGGAAGAAAGGCATCATAGTAAAATTACCAAAAAAGGGGGACCTAACAGAATGCAAAAACTGGAGAGGTATAACAATACTGAATGCGGCTGTCAAAGTACTCGCGCTCATAATACACGCCAGAATTGAAAATAAAATAGAATCAAGCTTAAGAGAGGAGCAGGCGTGTTTCAGAAGAGGCCGTGGTTGTATCAACCAGTCTAACACGCTGCGAATCATAGCTCAACAATCAGTCGAATGGGGTTCGCCACTGTACATCACTTTCGTAGACTTTGAAAGGGCCTTCGATACAATCAACAGAGAAGCAATTTGGCACTCCTTAGCAAGTAAAGGCATACCACGAAAATTAATCAACATAATAAGAGCGCTATATGAAGATGCAGAGCTAAGAGTGCTTCACCAGGGCCAGCTAAGCAATACGATAAAACTGAGAGCCGGAGTCAAGCAGGGATGCACCCTATCCCCACTCCTGTTCAACGTAGTCCTGGACGAGGTTATAAGAAGAGCAACAGTTACTGCCAGAGGTATAATGTGGACACTCATAAGAGTGTATTCTATACTCGAAAGCATATTCTAGACTCGAAAGCCTAGAATATGCAGATGACATAGCCCTACTTGCCCACACGCACCATGATATGCAAGAAAAGATAACAGAACTAGATCAAAGTGCCTCAAGAGTCGGTCTCCGAATAAACACACACAAAACAAAAAGCATGAGAATTAACGCCAGAAGCAATGCCCCCCTGGAAGTAAGAAACACAGAAATAGAGGAAGTTTCGGAATTCTGCTACCTTGGTAGTATAATTACTACAAATGGAGGTGATGAAAGGGACATGGAGAATCGAATTACACTTGCAAGAACGGCATTTGGAAGACTATGGCCTGTCTGGAAACAACGCCACTTAGCTAGGGGCACAAAAATCAGAATATTCAACTCATGCGTAAAATCCGTGCTCCTATATGAAAGTCAGACATGGTTAATAAAGAAAAACTGGACAAACAGATCTTCATAAATAAGTGTCTTAGATCAATCTGCAGAATATTCTGGCCGAGAAAAATCAAGAACTCGGACCTTTGGGAACTGACGGGGCAAGAGCCCATAGATCGCCAAATCAAGAGGAGAAAATGGAAATGGATTGGTCACACGCTGAGAAGAGCAGAAAATAATATTCAGCGAAGGGCTTTAGAGTGGAGCCCTCAGGGCAAGCGAAAACTGGGCAGACCAAAAGAAACATGGCGAAGGTCAATAAATAAAAAAATCGAGGAGAAAAACAAATCATGGCCTGAAATAAAACTTCTAGCCCGCAACAGGGTCAGATGGAGGAGCTTTGTAGATGCCCTATGCTCCCAAAGGGAGTAGAAAAGAAAAAAAAAAAAAATCTTTTTATGTTGATATTGAAATAAGAAATTATTAGCGTGAAAATAATTTAAAATTTTTTTATACACAATTTTCTCAATTATTTTTGCAAAAATCCGAGGAACAGAAATTGGTCTATAATTTTCTAAATTGTGCTTATCACCACTCTACAGTATTGGCGATACTTTTTTACTTTTAATGAATTAGGATATATACAATCCCCAACAGTACCAGAATATAGCATTGCTAGAATTTTTAAGAAGTGACTACCGCAATCTTTTATAGTTTTTATGCTATTAGTTCAATATCAACAAAATAGTTATTAAATTTCTCCGGAATTAAAATAATAAATTTTGTTTGTGACCTCTTTGCCGTACCTGATATATGTATTATTTAAGAAATACTTTTTGGATATTGCTACACATATATGATTATATACAAAAGATTAACATCAGATCATAATATAACCATACAAAAAGAACTAAGATCATATAACAACACAAAAGAATAGTGTTAAAAAACAATTTTATCAATATGATTATCTGTGCTTGTGTACAATTGAATAATTAAGACGTTTTTTTTTTATAATTTTTAAAAAGGAAGAAATTTATTTTTAACTTGCCTTTTTTTCATCCTGGATTTTACGTATTTTCATGTACATACTTAAGCATTGTACGACAAAATAATATAAAATTAACAACACTCCATATATATAAACCTTTTTAGCACTTTTCCAAAAAATTTTTTGAAAAAAGTGCTTATTAGTTTCACTCTGTCCGTCCGTCCGTCAGTCCGTCCGTCCGTCTGTCCGTGTGTCTGTTTACAAAACTTCTACACCTTTGAAGATAGAAAGCTGAAATTTAATACGTACATACATCTTCACTAGAAACTTATTTCCGTAGAACAAAATTTTTACCTATCTCCCCCCCTCTAGAAGTTATACCCCCCCAAAACCCTAAAAATGGCCTTTTTTAAATATTTGTTGCAATGAAACGATAAGCATTTTTGAAATTTTACAAACGCAGAAAGGCAGTGGCTTGCTTCCCTTTGCGCAGTATACTATAGTTCAACTTAAGAAAAACAAAATGGCCGCTCAAATTTACCGATATTTAAAGTCCTTTTTTTCCAAATTTTTGATGTCGTTTTTCTTCTAGACCCCAGACTGTAGAAGCTTGAAATTTTAGGAGCTTTTAGATATTAATAAATAGTTCATTTTGTTAGAAGAAAATTTTTTTCCATCTCCACCCCCTCTCAAGTTATCACCTCTTGAAATTCGTAAAATTTGAATTTTTGACACCTTATATTTCCGAAACCGCAAGCTTTTCCAAATTTTTATAAACGCAAAAAGCTAACGGTAAATTCCGTGAAATTAAAAAATATAATTATTTTCCTTAACTCACACAATTAACCCTTAAAATCGAGCATTATGTTAACCCCTTTTTATATTAATTTTTGCTTTATTTCAAAGACTGCATATATGCGTCATCCTAAATATATGCAATCCTAGAAATAGTTTTATATATGAATGAAAATAATTTTAATAGTGTGATAGCTATACATAGACTGTATTTAAAAGCAGAATTTTCACTTGTTGAAGGGAAAAGTGCTACAATACAAACCATTGGTTTGACCCAACTTTATTTATAACTTATATGATTTCTATAATGTTAAAGTTTCAACAAATTCGACATTTTTCGTAATCTAAAGAAATGCACAATGCACCATATACAAATACATATAGCTTGTTATATTAATTTTGGATTTTTTGAAAATTTTATTAAATTTTTTTGAAAAAACAAAAATACTTTATTTTTAAATTAAGTCTTTTATTCTATTAACTTTATTAATACCTAGCTAAAAATTTTATTTGCTTTTTATATTGTTTTTTTTCTTTGATTTAAATGATGGTTAATTTTACAGGTCCAAAAAATTCTAAGTTGGGATACAAAAAATCATCTTGTTTATTATTTGGCAACTGTTGATAAAAAACCGGGGCAACGGCATCTCTATGTTGTTAAGGACCCAACGGCTGGAGAAGAAAGCCGAAAGTAAGCACAACTATGAAGAGCATGCAAATTTACTTAAATATAACTATAATTATAAAAAATAAAAAAAGAATAAATAAAGAAAAATTAATATTTGAAATTTTTTAGAAGCGAGCCTCAGTGTATTACCTGTGATCTTGGTGATGTATTATGGAGTAGTCGTTATTATTACATAAATTGTTCCCATTTTGATGCCTTTTTACGTCCAACGTCTTCCATATCCACTGAATTTGGTGTTGATTATTATGTTTTAGAATGTCAAGGACCTGGCTTACCAGTGTCATGTGTCCATTCTGCTCATAATCATACGCTTAAGAAATTATTATATGATACACGACCGCAATTTTCAATGAAATTACGTGAATTAGCACTACCAACACACAGATCTTTTGAAATTGCATTATCACATGGAAGTAGGGCACATGTACAATTACTTTTGCCGCCAAGTTGGCGTGAGGAACTTCGAGATGCGGCATTTCCAGTGCTCGTGGAAGTGTAAGTGTACTCAAACTATTTTTAACCTCTAATACTCATATTTTGATAAGTTTAATTAAATAATGTATACATTTTTGTTATGCAGGAATGGGCGTCCAGGATCTGAACAAATATCAGAAAAACTAATTGTAGATTGGGGAACCTACATGTCCTCGCGTAACGATGTAATTTATATTCGATTAGACGTTAGGGGCTCGAAAGGCCAGAGCAAAAAAGCCCTTTATAGGCATATAGGTGGAGTAGAGGTTCAAGATCAAATAGCCGCTGTACAGTAAGTTTCAAATGTTTTTTTTCCCCAAAATAGTACAACAATTATAACTAATTATATATATTCAAAATTATGTAAAACCAATTAAAAATAAATACATGTAAACTCCCTTGAGCGTGTATTATTAAATTAAATACATAAATTTACTTTCCCAATATTTTTTTACAGGTATCTATTAGATACTTTAAGTTTTCTAGATGAAACTCGTGTTGCTTTATGGGGTTGGGGCTATGGCGGTTATGTGACAACAATGGTACTAGGTTCACAACAAAACGTATTTAAATGTGGAATTTCTATTTCACCTATAGCAGACTGGTTGTTTTACAGTAATTACGTTATATTAAAAAAATCAAGAGAACTTGAATTCCCAGCATGCAAATTTTTAATTTCAGATTCTGCATTTACAGAACGTGTTTTAGGTCTTCCAGCTGAAAATTACAAAGGTTATGTTGAAGCGGATGCAACACAACGTGCTCGTCATATTAAATCTCATTCTTACTTCTTAATGCACGGTTTAGCAGATTCCTCAGCGCCTTATGTTCATGGCATACAAATAGCTAGGTCATTATACGAAAGCGGTGTTTTATTTCGATATCAAGTAAGTATTTTTACTAATATTATGTATCTACATGGATATTCATATACATTTTAAATTTCTATTCCATATTTCATTACAATATATAAATATCTGTATTTTAGGCATACGCTGATGAAGGTCATGATTTAACAAATGTGTTAGAACATGTTTATCGCTCGATGGAAGATTATCTAGCAGATTGTTTAAGTCTCGATACAGAAGAAAGTAAACCTGATGCAGCCGATATACATGAATAAAACCCTACATTTTATTGAAATTAGCGATGATTTATTATTAATTAAAAATAAAAAAAAATAGCTCAAAATATATTAATTAATTAATATTTTAATTTAATAAAAATTATATTGAAGATCTTTAGTTTCATTTCAAAAATATTATTATATATAAACTAGAATATTATATTTTTTTAACAAAAAGTAGATAACAAAAAAAAAAACAATTAAATAAAGAAAAAAGAAGTTAGTAAGCTATAAATAAGTATTAGAAAATTTTTGAAAAATGTTAACAACAAAGTGCTTTAATTAAAAACATATTTATTAATAATTATACAGTTATGTGTTTACAAATAATAAAATTAACAATTAAATTGATAATTACTAAAGAAAAAAAACAATTTCATTAAAATGTTATTAATTGAAAAAAAATAATTATTTTATCAATTATTAATAAATGAACATTAATTAAAGAACGTTTACTCTAAATAAAGCTCATTCAATCTCAACATACGAACATGCATTCTGATTTTAATTTCATTAATTTCATATTATTTGTATATGTATATAATTTTTTTGTAAATAAATTGTAAAATAAGTTTATTTATTTACTTAGGCCATAAATAATTTTAAAGGTATTAATAAAAAAAAATATTTCGATTATATACTTAACTTTAAACAGAAAAGAACTACTATAAGTCGCAAAAACGTTTTAATTAGGTAATAATAGCAATAGATCTAACTAGTTTGTAAGAGTAAAATTGATAATTAAAAAAGTTTAAAATTATGTTAAAATACATCGCAAGTTCATATGTATATTTATAATTTATTATAATAACATTGCATACTAATTTCTACATTTAAAGTAGTCGACAGCGTTAGAATAAATTTGAGAAAATTAAGTACATATAATATATAAAAACGGTATACATTTAATTAATAATTTCGTGCTTCCTATATATGTATATGCATATATAATCTCTTTAGAAACATATTTGTATATACTGGACATTTTTGCTTCCTGAATTCGATTTTAATTTTATTAATGTTATTTGTTTAATACAATAGGTCTTTAACAAAATTTTTTTAATTTACATAAGTTTATCAACGTTTTTTGTAGCTCAAGAAACAAACGAATTCACATAAAATTAATATATAAATCAATATGTATAATACAAATAAAGTCAATAATTTTGGGTAAACTTTTGCATGTTGACTTAAAGGTATTTGTCGAATCACGATGTCACACAAGTTTTTAGTATAACGCATTTTGTTTAGTCATATGAAGGCATAATATATTATATAATACTATCCTATAATACTATTGATTATAATATTATCAAAGCATCTGTACTTTGAAACTCTTTTAAAATGGTTTATAAGAATATAGCTAATATTTGGAATTTATGTGATAAAAGCAGTTTGAAAGTAGACAGAAAAGAAAATCTGTTAATTTTTTAATTTATTAGAATACAGAACAAATATTTTAGAGAAAATATTTCGCATTTAAATTATAAAAAACTTAAAAATTACGTTAATTGTTAATTAAATTATATGAAAATAAATGTAATTTAGTTTGCATAATTAAATTTTACGTTTTTTGCAATTTATACAAATTGTTTAAGGAAATGTTTTCTCACTTTGCACCTACTTATAGAAATTTGACAGAGCTGTATGAACTAAGATTTGAAAAATTCTTCGTTTCTTCTGTAACTCAAGCATCACTTAGTTTCATTACATTAGTTTTAAATTGCTTAAAATTTTGTTGCAATAAATTATTTTCCAAAAATATAAAACATAAACTATAAAATATATACATACACACAATTCATTTTAAAATAGGTATTGTCAAAAAATTTGTTTTATTATTAAATATTTATTGATTACTTATAACTTTAAAATAAAATGTTTTATTCTCATTGATTTTGAAATTAAAGTTTATTAAATAATATAAGTGTTTAGTAATAGAAATAATAGAAACAAATGTATGTCAATTATGTTAAAATTAAATTCGATATACGTTGTTTATAGAATTTCGTTATTTAAATTGTTTTTTGATTATAATATTTCAATTAAATATATATACATAAATCTTATTTTTAACAATGTATAGAGGCTCAAGTTTTCAACTTTAAATTAGGAACTGCCTAATTTCAATCTTATAACGCAATTATACAAAAAACATTAAGAAGGATATAAAAACCTGTAAAATATTATGAAAATAAAAAGTTCGAAATACGTGTGGAATAAATATCTTATGTTAGAATCTTTTTAAGATTAAAATATATACAAAGTGGAATGAAGGAATATAGTAATAATGTAAATATTAATATATCTCGTATATTATGTATATGTAAGTATATAAGTATAAGCACTAATGATTTAATGATAACTAATTCAAAGTACCTTTAATATTAAAAATGAAAAGTTTCAAATAATTATCACAAAATATACATAAGAAATAAAATTATTTAAAATTCCATTCAATTATATAATGTACTAACAATTAGTACTAATAATATTATAAAAAGTTTTAAATTATTATGTTAAAAATTTAAAATATTAGGTACCTTAAAAGTTAAACAACAATTATAACACAATTTAACAAAAGGATATTAACATCATAAATATTACAGCACATAGAAAACCATTATGAAAAATGGAATTAAATTTATACTAATTATTTGAAATATTTAATTAAATAAAGAAAATTAAAGAAAAAGCAGGTTGTGAATAAACGCAATTAGATTTTAAGTATGTATAATAGGTAGAAAAATAGAAATAGAAATGTTTTAAAAATTTCATAGAATATGGTAAAATAACATGAGTAACTATGTAAATAACGAAAATATTATAAAATTGACAAAATTTATAATCTACATCATTATTAATCGATGAACTTTAAAATCATTATTCAACTATATGATGAATGAATAGTATTAAAGTGTAATTTTGATTATTGAAATAAGTTTATATATATAAGCACAAGATTGTTTTATATGATATTTTTATTCCTCATTTGAAAGTTTTTTGATATTTTTTCAATTTTTTAGCATTCAAGTTCAAATTCCATTAAGCAAAAAATATTTTAAATTAAACAAAAACTCAACGATTTCTAAAGATATCACAAAATGCTTAATATATTTTTTCATACTTTTAATATATCAAACCAAATATTTTATTTGATAAATAAACCATTGAAATTTAAAATGTAAATTAAGATTTTCCTGGAATCAAAATTGTTTTAACAATAAAACTAAAATATTTAGGAAATATCATTGATATATACATATATATTTTTTTAAATTCGAAAATGCAATTTTTACTGACATTTGTACCGACCGAATTGTGTATATAATAGGTAGGTTATGTGATGGCACGCGTGTATTTCAAGTTCGACTGAACCGATTTTAATGAAATTTTATATGTAAGTTTATGCCATAGTCGAACGCACGAACTACTCAACTTTTGAGATATATCAAACCTCGGGAACTGTATTTCTTAGCGGACCTGTTTTACGTTCTTGATCATTTTAAAGAAAATAGTCAACAGATTTACTTGAAATTTCATATATAAACTTCATTCGACCGTCCGCGAAACCTCCTAACTTTTGCCAAATATACATTTTTGCGTATATAAAGAGAGATAATCAACAGATTTCATTGAAATTTAATATGTGAATTCCTCATATTAAAGCAATGCACATATAAATTTTTTGGAAAGATCAGGGCTCGGAAACTGATCTGAGGGCCGATTTTACATTTTTACCATATCTACGGAACGAATTGATGGAATTTGATATTTGAGTTCTGGTTGTTACTGAAATTAACTGGCGAGCATTTCAGGGAATTCGGGTTTCACAAACGAAACTCTACTAAGAGCCAAATTTACAATTTTCTAAATTGTATATTAACTATAAGCTTACTAATGCCCTAAAATTGGAAAGAAGTATTTAACAGGGTATTTTATAATATTCTGTAACACTTTCAATTAAATAGACAATACACATTGCGGTTGGTCAGCACGACCACATCAGATTTCTTTAATTTTTTTGCATAGCTTTCAGAAAAATAAAGTTAAAATAAACTTAAAATCATAGAAATTATATTTTGATTCTGTCTTAATTGAAAGTTAAAAAACTCAATTAATAAAATGAATTTTGTTTAAAAAGTCCTATTTTTTATTTTGAAATTAATTTGAAATAATAGTTAAGAATAAAAAAAACATTATAGCTAATAAGAACAATATATATATTAAAATTGAAATATTTTTAATAAATTTTTGGCTTCAAACCCCAACAATAATTTAAATTGCTTGTAAATATATTTATTAAGATATTTTATCATTTATTTCAAGAGAAGTTATAATTTAGACACATAAATACATAAATACAAAATACTTTTATGTGTATTAATTAAATGGTATCAGTTAATTTATGTAAAAATCTTAATTTGTGCATTCTTTTGTTATCTTAATTCGATTCTATGTTATATAACATGTATTGAGTGTTATATTTGATTCACTCAACTTTTGTACTTTATTGTAGATTATTCATTGCACTGATAAAACCCAAATTTTAAACGAATGCTTTTTTATATGTGTATTTTAAATGTATCAAGTTTTCTACAGGGTGGTTCATATAAGGTGTTAAAAATATCAGGGATTGTTTTTTAACAATTTCCACAAAAAATCGTATAGGCGGTTATTGCACATATACATTTTTCGCATGTTTTTACACATTTAGTAGATTTTACTAGCAAAACTATGATCCCATTGTAACAAAAATAACAGCACGAGAGATTTCGAGTTTATAAAAAAAAAATTCAAAAAAAAAAAATAAGAATTCTGACTTTGATTTGTAAAGCCTGTAAAGCAATCTCTTAATAGCTACTCCGTGTGTCGTGGTTCCGAGAAAATAATCATTTATTTATATACAGGAAACATTTGTTATCCGTTTCTTCAACAAGCTGCAGTTCGAAAACGAGCAACCATTTATAACACTCTAATCGAGGAGTTAACCATACGACACTCATTTTTTAATTATTTTTGTTACTTTTAGTCATAAAATTATTTAATATTTCGTTTGACGTTCTATACTTTGGTGAAATAATCAAAATTGAAGTAAATAATTGATATT